CATTGCTACGACTGCACACATCTGCCCTCATTGCTATGGCTGCACACATCTGACCTCACTGCTACGGCTGCACACATCTGTCATCACTGCTACGACTGCACACATCTGTCCTCATTGCTACGACTGCACACATCTGTCCTCACTGCTATGGCTGCACACATCTGACCTCACTGCTACGACTGCACACATCTGTCCTCACTGCTACGACTGCACACATCTGTCCTCACTGCTACGACTGCACACATCTGTCCTCACTGCTACGACTGCATACATCTGTCCTCACTGCTACGACTGCACACATCTGCCCTCACTGCTACGACTGCACACATCTGTCTCACTGCTACGACTGCACACATCTGTCCTCACTGCTACGACTGCACACATCTGTCCTCACTGCTACGACTGCACACATCTGTCTGCACTGCTACGACTGCACACATCTGTCCTCACTGCTACGACTGCACACATCTGTCCTCACTGCTACGACTGCACAAGTCTCTCCGCACTTTCACGACTGTACACGTTTTCTGTCTGCACTGTTCACGACCGCACATGTCCGAGTGTGTCGTTATGACCACACAGTCATGGGTACCACCGTCGTCCACTCACCCGCTGCCGCTGCCTCCGCCGCCGCCGCCGCCGCCATCGCTGGCTGGCTCTCTCGCCGGTGCGCCGCCCCGCCGCTTGTCTGGCCGCCGCGGCGACCGGTCACTCTCGCCCGCCGGACGCTCGGCCCGCGAGCTCCTGCTGCTGCTGCCCTCTGCTGACCGATACGAGTCTGAAGCCAAGCAAAGGTTCATCACTGCTACATCCGGTAATCACGGTACCACTTCGGGACACTAGGGGGACACACAGGCCTTACCTTCAGATGCTAGGGAAGGGCACGAGCCTTATTATCGAACACTAGGGGGAGCCACGAGCACGTACCTGGTAGTTCCTTGCCGAGGACGCTGAGTATGTGGTTGAAGCCCGACTGGGTGAGAGTGCTATAGCTCTCGCCTCCTCCTCCTCCGTTCACCGCGCGACTCTTTTTCGCTCGCGCGACGTCGCGCCTTCTGGTGAGAAAGAAAACTACGATGAAACACGAGACGTTCGGGAATACTCATCGCCGACGGCAACCGCGTCCGCGCTCGGTCGCGACGTACGGCTTGCCGAGGAATGGACCTGTCACCGAGACAGACTCGGTCGACCGCATAAAATCCTCGAAATTTTCATAATGTGCCTGTTGCCTGAGCAAAATACCCACGACCACGTGCCACCGAAGATATTGTCGCTAGGTGGGACAGGCTAGACGGGTTTATACGTGATTTTTCAACCATTCCAACCGATATATCGACTCTTCGATTCTCTCTCTGGAACACTTCGTTGCCAAGCACTGTTTTTAGAGAGTGCTGCTATGGCAAAGACGAATTCACCAGCTGTACGCAAATCACGTATGGGAAAACAAAAATGCGACCTCTCGACAATATACAAACTATACATCAATGAATTCTTGGCAGTGGAAGGATGGCGGTCGCTGTGCGCAGTGTTTGCGGCACCTGAAACTTCCCGTGAATTGCTTTCTTTCTATATCAGGTAACTGTGTAATAATTGAATACGTTCATCCTCACAATGCGCCTGGCTAATTCTGCAGCAGGATATTCTCGTGATAATTGTATGCCTGCATCCACACAGAACACGTACGCGGGGGAATGTGTACAGCAGACTAAATGTGCATATATATGTATGTAAACATGTACACGTAACACGCACGCTGGTAATTTGAGCTGTCTGCAGTAGTGCAACCACGTAATAAGTGACCACACACAGATGAGCACAGCACTATGCATTAGGTAATCAGTATTCACACACACATGCACACACGTGCATGCATGCACGCACGCACACACGCACGCGCGCACACAAACACACAGGTAAGTACAGCTCTCTGCAGCAGGTAATCATCAGTAATCACACAGACACATGTAAGTACAGCTCTCTACAGCAGGTAATAATCAGTAATCACACAGACACATGTAAGTACAGCTCTCTACAGCAGGTAATAATCAGTAATCACACACAAACAGGTAAGTACAGCTCTCTACAGCAGGTAATATTAATAATCAGTAATCACACAGACACATGTAAGTACAGCTCTCTACAGCAGGTAATAATCAGTAATCACACACAAACAGGTAAGTACAGCTCTCTACAGCAGGTAATAATCAGTAATCACACACAAACAGGTAAGTACAGCTCTCTACAGCAGGTAATATTAATAATCAGTAATCACACACAAACAGGTAAGTACAGCTGTTAAACACAGGCAATCGGGTAATCACTTGCACGCCCACGTGCACACACACACGTGCACACCCGCGCACGCACGCACACACAGACATACACGTGCACGCACGCACACGCACACGCATACACGTGCTCACGCACACACACGTGCGCACGCACACACGCGCGCACACACATACACGCGCACACACACATACACGTGCAGACATACACACACGTGCACACACGTCATACCTGGAGCTTGCTGGCGGATCGCCACCACTTCTTCCTACAGCCGAGGAGGATGCTCTGCTTCCGAGTCGGCTCACTACGCCGCCGCCGCCGCCGCTGCTGCTGCTGATGCCGGCTGGCTTCACTTCCCACTTCACCGTGCCGACACTATCGTCTGCAACTGATGTCAAGATCGACGATGAGTAAGGGTCGCGCCCACCTGCGCATCGGCCCTCACTCTCGGCCTAACTCCCACCACTCGTGGGCCTACCTCAAACTGCGCTGTCCGCTGGAGAGATATACATCGACGACGCGCTTGGATCGCGTTGCTAGGTCGGCCATGCTAGATGAGTTTGCACGTGTTTTCGCAAGTGTGCACGCGTTGAAATGTTGAATGTTGCGATACGTCGTTTCCAAGCAGTATCCTTTAAATTTCCTACGGCAACGATGATTGGCTGCTCATCGATCACGCTACGGGGATAGGTAAATTCCTTCAACCATGGACGAGAATCTTGGTCCGGTTTGAGTTCGGGGTTAGGCTAAAATGGCGGGCACGCGCGCGCCTCCCCTACGCGTTCCAATTCCTTCGCGAAGATTGAATCAAAAACAGGTCGTGACTGCTGCGTCGACTTCGACGGAGAAAGACGACTGCAGGAATGCCAACGACAGTTCGGTGATTTCTCAAACCTTCAACAACGACCGACGGGTCTTCACCGAAGCCCTGATAAAAAACGGTAAAAGAGAGACAGAGTGGGAGAGAGCACAAGGGAGGTAGAGAGAGAGAGAGAGAGAACGGAGAGGAAGAGAGGGGATGAAGAAGGGGAGGAAGGGAAGGAGGAAGAGAAGAGT